CTGATCTGTATCCGAGATCCGAGACATCCATTCATCTGGCGCAGATGCCAGATTTGGAGAGTGCGTCGTCTCAAAATTAAGCTAACATAAAATAAAGATTGATCTTGGTGCGCGTCCCGACGGGACATGTAGCACCGGGACTCCCGGTGCTACATGTAAATTAAACGTGGTGAAGGAAGTCCATCTTAGTAGATACAGTATCGCTGCGTCACACCACGAAGCACGGTATGAAAAGGGTGATGGCTTCTGCAAGCATACACACCTTTTTGGCAAGGTATATTAATTACCTCACCGTAGACCCGAACGCCGAGGAGAAACCATGGTTCCTCACATTTACTTTGTATATCTGCGAAGCAAACTGCACATCAGGTGATTGAAGGAATCCTTGCGGAGGATACATCCCTGGTCCAAACCGTTTACTACAGCACCAGATGAAGACGCATACCGAAATTCTACACCGATCAGAAGCTGTTTCCAAGCAAAGCCTAACATCGATACAGAAGAGTAACCCGTATAATAATGAAATACACTATGCTATTCTAAAACAGCTCTCTTCATTCCGAATACATACAAATACAGTATACCATACAACGAGCAGCTGAAAAAACATTCATATATTAATGCTGGTATGTTCATGTATGTCCTTTGAACCCCCTTCCGCATCAAAGCCCTCGTTGCCTATCCCCACCCGCACGTTGCTCCTGGTCTCAAAGAACTTTTTTCCTCTTCATTCTACAATTTCCATTGGCGGCAGTAACCACCACATCCAGCATCTTCTTCGCCATGAACTTCACTGCCCTGATCGCTGTCACCGTCGCGGCCCTCATTGGATCTACGAACGCTGCCGTGTGCACCCCAAAACAGCAAACTGCTGCATACAATACGCTCGTGAGCCTTCTGTCCGAAGCCTCCTTCTCTAAGTGCTCCACAGATTCGGGCTACTCCATGATCACGTCCAAGACGCTTCCGAAGCCCAAGCAGAAGAAAGCCATGTGCGCGTCATCGTCGTGCAAGATCATGATCAAGAAGATTATCAAGCTCAACCCACCCAACTGCACACTGACGGTTCCCACGAGCGGCCTAAAGCTCAATGTCTACGACATGGCGCACGACTTCTCATCGGACTGCAAGGCGCTTCAAAAGTAAACACCTTGACTACGATCCCATACCTGTCCAAGTCCACAACTTTTTTATTATCAGGATACTGACTATGGGAGATTAGTTCTTTCGACGCGCAAAGTTCAAGAAAAAATATATTTGAAGTTTATCTCACATTGTTCCATGAGTCCAGAAGTTGAAATCATGATGGCGTTGACTGAGTTTCGGTTGATGGTGGCGGTTTTAGTAGCCTCGGTGGTGATGAAGCCTATCCAAGGTGTATCATCAGATACAATATTTCACATACCTACTGCTTGATAACTGGACATAATTGTAGGCCCTGGCCATGGCGACTGGGCTAATCGAGGTACTTACACAATGGATATCTGCGAAATACAGGTCCTACGCAGTGAATCTACAACATGACAGTTTACCACTCTGCTTGGTACCGATGCCGTTCTCGTCGGTTATGTCAACACAACTAGGTGCACACCACTCAGTCGACTGCTGTGACCAAGATGCTAGCGAGTATTCTGTCCGAGTTGTCTCCCACTAGAATAAAGGTGAACATTTTATCGGTAATACATGTAAAAAATTTAAGTTGAGAAAACCTGCTTTAGAAAATCTAGGACATAATGATGAACAAGTTGTTCATCACCATGCCTCACTGAAGCTTCATACTGATACTGCACCAACTTCCTCCTGGCGTGTAGCTGATTTAGCAGTGCCGATCGCTACTCACACTCGAACAGCAATAGCGCTAAGCAGCTTCATGATGTCCCCGCACGATCCTATGGAATCGTGTGCCTGCCCCCACCTGTCTTCTTGTCCTATCCGAGCTCCATGGTGACTGCTTCACACCCAGGATCATTGCGATGGAGAAACACGCCTCCGCAGCTTAGGAGGGATAGCTACTGGTGCTGCGAAGTTGACCCAGACGCCAATCGCCCTCGTTTTCATTCTGCAATTTACCTTGCCAGCCTCAAGCCCCCAACCACCCAAGATGAATTTCGCTGCCCTCCTCGCCGCCACCGCTGCTCTAGTCGGATCGGTCTCCGCCACGGCTTGCACCACCACCCAACAGACCGCCGCCTACGTCGCGCTCGTGAGCATCCTCTCGGAGACGTCCTTCACGACGTGCGCCAGCGACTCGGGCTACTCCATGCTGACGGCGACTGCGTTGCCAACTACCGCTCAGTATGAACTCATGTGCGCGTCGACAGCATGCCAGGAGATGATCGAGACTATCATTTCGCTGAACCCACCAGACTGCGATCTGACGGTTCCCACGAGCGGCCTGGTGATCAACGTGTACGAGTACGCCAACAGCTTTGCGTCAACGTGTTCGTCGCTTTCGTCGTCGTCGTAAGCACTGAGATCGGAGTGATATTTGTATGACGGACTTCTGCATTGCTGGACGAGATTGGTCGGAGTTCACAGAGCTTGATCATCTGTAGTTTGTTCAGACCGAAGCCTCGGAGGCTTCTTACCAAGTGCCTCTCTCGCCCGCTTGACCGTGTGTGAGGGCGAGATGTGTGAACGTTCGTTAACCAGTAATGAACGGATTTCATGTTTTCAGCAACAGTGTGTTAAAATGTTGCGATTGGGTTTCTAGTTGCTAAGGCATATCAGTGTAGGACTATTCAGGCTTATCGGTTAGCGCACTCTTGTTCGACCACCGAAAAGATACACAACTTCAAGTTGAAGGGGTTGACCAATCAGATGAAGCTGAACATTGTGCGAGTGGACACCCTATTGCTTGCGGTGCTGCGGTGTCGGTGGCATTGAGGCAGCCTTAGATCAATCCAACGCAGAGCAATTGACAGATATTCCCTGACAATGTGATGATCAGGGGGCAGGGATAATTTGCCGGTCTTGTGTCGGGTGTCAATTGGTTAACTGTCTTTCGGTTTCCAACGCACAAGGTTCTCACTCGACTACTGGTTTGCATCCCCTTGTAGCTATCGAGATGGCCACGTTGTGCGACAAACAGCATAGCGATTGACATGATTCGGTAATTAGCAAGCAGCTTGACTGTAAAGCTATGACTTCAGGGAAGATATCGCGGATACAGACATACACTATATGCACCTGTCATTACACAAGAATATGCCGGAGATTCTAAGCTTCGGAGTGGCAGACTGAAATTGCATCCTGCATTATTCTTCATCCGGTATTGTTCGCTTCACCCCATCGCACGTAAGCTGTCGGCCACCAGCGGAGCTCCACCGTGGAGTCCACGCGTTAGGCAATGGATTCCTTCAAGCAGAATCCACGCATTGTGGTGGCATGACCAATGAGCGCTTGAACGGCTGTCTTCGACCGTAGAGTGGCATGTATCCTGTCAGTCGCTGCAGTGCTTCCAGCAGATCTCCGCGCGCACCGCAGCGGGTGAATCCATGTGAGAAACTGCTCTAGGGTAGTCTTGCGCCACGGACGTGTTAGTCATCCAGGTCTCAGTCATCCTCGTCAGCGAGACGAAGGTGAGCGAGCGAAATTCGCTGCGAATGCCTGCTGCATCGCCCATCTGCCGCCACATGTGAGAAGATGTGGACGAGCTTCACTTCCTGTCTGCAGGTGCACTGAGGCACTACAGTGTACCCAAGCAAGTTCAGGTAGATCATTTCATTGCGTTACCTCACTTCAGTTTGTCGATCCACCTTGTCGAAGGACTTTGATGCCCGGCGGATCGTGGTCACCCTGCAATACGTTTGTCTGGTGGACCATTTTCAGAGACAAGGCGAGCGGATCCTGTTGAACGCTTCTCTTGCTACGCTGTCATTCCTCTGTTGCAGCGGATCAGATAAGCGGCTTTCTCTCGTCTTATCATGGATACAGCCTGAATCGCACAGGTTACGTTACTGTTCAGCTTTCGGTGCTTTTCGACAACTCTTTACAGTCGAGCTGATTGTGTCGACGAAAGCCGAAGTGCGTGGCAGATCTTGCCGTTCGAATGCTACGCGCCACGGCAAAACCTACACAGTACAACAGCTTCAAATAAACCTGCAAGCGAGCCGCCAGCCCAACTCCAGCTAGTCAAGCCTAGTTTGCCTCCAACTGCCATTGTGCAATTTGCTCTCATCCACACCCACCCCACTTCTCCCCCACCTCATCCGAAATGAACTTCCGCGCTCTGTTCGCCGCCACCGTCGCCGCCCTCGTCGGCTCCACCTCCGCCACCACGTGCACCACCACGCAGCAAACTGCGGCGTACGTGGCGCTCGTAAGCATCCTCTCGGACACGTCGTTCAACCAGTGCTCGACGGACTCTGGCTACTCAATGCTGACGGCCACCTCGTTGCCCACGACGGAGCAGTACAAGCTCATGTGCGCGTCGACGGCGTGCAAGACGATGATCAACAAGATCGTGACGCTGAACCCGCCCGACTGCGAGTTGACGGTGCCTACGAGCGGCCTGGTACTCAACGTGTTCACGTACGCGAACGGGTTCTCGTCTACGTGCGCGTCACTGTAAGCGGGTTTAATCTCTGCGTCCAGAATCAATTGGCCGGAGCACCTATCAACTTGTCTTCGTGCCAAGTACGCAGCTTTGATGATTATTTTTCAGTTGCGAATGTAAATGCCGAAAGCTGTCGTAGTATAAACCTGTGAATGAAGGTTTTTGTATTCAATTCGCTGTTGTTGTGCCATGTACGTGCACGTTGATCTCTGTGTTCAGTAGCGATGGACCGTAGCACCTATTAACTTGTCATTGACGGTTAGGCTTAGTTCTTCGCAACAAGTCGTGTTGAGGATTTGACTGTAGCTGTCGCCGTATTAAAATGTCTGTAATGAAAATTCTTGTTTTCATTGTGGTATTGCTGTGGCTTCATACTGCAAGCAAGTGCGACGCTTGTTGGGTTGAATACAAGTACTGCATTGCAAGCCCCAAAGAGGAAAAATCGTGACGCCCTCAAGAAATCGTCGTTCGACCCGAACAGCGAGATTGGCGAGAGTCTGGAAATCAAATGCATGAGCTAGGGTGCGTAAATCGGGAGAATCTTTGTTCCCTATCGACTGTGAACAGGGAACCTGAAAATATGGCTTCTGTGCCCATCTGAGAGCGGGTCTTTTCTTTGTTATCCCCTAATCCTTGTATGCCTTGCCCGTCCCTGTGCATGTACTCTATCCGAACGGGGGTGTATACGGGTATACAGGTACGAGTGGCTCCTGGCTCCTCATTCGAGAAATTTGTGAAGCGGCGAGAATGGAGCGTCGACCGCGTTCCGCACAGAAGCGCCGGCAGCACGCTGCTCCGAGTGATGATGACAGCGCCAGCGACAACGGCGACAGCGACGTCGAGTGGACACTAGATTCCGGGCACTCAAGCGTACGATCGTCGGAATCCTCCAGCCAGTTCGAGACACAGAGCGCTCAAGGCGAGGAGGGCTCCGCCACAGAGGCATCTTGCGCCTTGGCTCCCCCACTAGGTCAGACGCAGTTTGACTCGTGGGAGTCATTTCATGCCTACCTTAATGCGTACATGGCGCAGACGTACCAGGTTCGCAACGCTATGCGTTTGTGCGAGGTTGTTGTGGTCTCCTAACAAACTGCACCTGTCAGAGCTTTCGCATCCGTACCAACAACAAGGTCCAGGAGCGCAACCGCAAGATCAAGAAGCAGAATGACACAGCTCCTCTGATCCCACAGGAGTGGATCTGGTACAACAAGACCCTTGTATGCACCCACGCTGGCAGGTACAAGACGCGCGGCAAAGGCAAGCGACCGCGTCAGGAAGTCCGATCGACTGAGTGTTGTGCACAGGTATGTATTCTCTTCGTTTGGGCCCAGATGGGCAAAACATTGGCGAGTTGGGCTCAGATGGGGACGCTTGATGCTGGATGGGCTCGGATGGGCTTTGTTAATGACAATATATGTGTTCTTCCTCAGATTAACGCTTGTGTCCGCGTCGTCAACGGCAGCACACACGACCCTGTGTTCGCGTTGTGCGTTACTACAGCGAAGCTGCAGCATAACTACCCGCTGACCCTTTCCAACTACGAGCAGTACTCGTCAGTTCGTACAGCGCTTGCGCCTTCCATGGTGGAGACGGTAGATGTTTTGCGCAAGGCGGGGAGCATGAGCTCAAAACTGAAGGAGCTGCACCTACAATCTAATGAGGTTCGTTCAAGTTGTCGAGAATACGTGTTTAGTGGCCTGTGAGGTGTTTGCAGGCGCACCTTCGCCGGGGCTGATTGACAAGAAGACGCTACAGTATCTGCGCTACAGATACCTTAGCTTGTGCATTTAAATACATTGAATTTTTGAGCAAAGCTAGTTGTGAAGTGCGAATGAAAATGTTGTAACTTGCTGTCATTCCAACATGAGACTTTGTCTCCAATCATCAGCAGCACTGAGTGCGCGACAGACAACAGCGCGTCCGGTTAAACGCTTCAAACGCGTATACAAGCGTGACACATCAAAATATTACCTAACTGGCTCTTTTGCTAGATGGGGACAGATGGGCACAAATGGTCGTAAGTGGGAGACAGACGGTGTTGGATGGGAACAAATGCCTCGTCACATTTCTCCTCAGATGGGCACAGCAACACGTGCCAAATATCATTTAT